GTGAAGATTTCCTTTTTGTCTTACACTGCTAGCTTGTTTGTTTTTTTTTGGCACTGTGTTCAATGAAAGTTGTCACTTTAAATATGCAAAAAAGACAAAAGTGTTAGGGAATGATATATTTAGTGAAGTCTTTCCAAACCAAGGTCTATTAGATAAAAAACACGAGGGTCCTTATTAATCTATAAATGTAATGGTCTATCATTGCTCTACATCTACAAGACATAGTAAATATCCTTATTATGTTATTTTTTGAGGGGGAAGGCTTGCACCATTTCTACTAAATATTATGCTACAATTCTTAAAAGTGAGTTATTCGTTTTTTTTGACCATGATAACAACTTTGTCGGGAGTGAATGTCATTGATGTCAACAGCTTCTAAATACATATATTTTTTATAGTAACAGGAGTTTAGGACAGAAAAAATAGGCAAACGATGGAAAGAGTGGGCTAACATTGCACTTTGTTTTGTTTTTTTTTTGTTTTTTGTTTTTTTTAGGTTCCTTACAGAATTGTAAACATTTTTATTTGTGACTCTAGTGTTTTTCTTTTGTAGTTACAATCTTGTATTTTTGGTAGATTTGGACAGTAGTATACAGGTGTTTTCAAGACATCAATGTAGTGGTTAATATTAACAAAAACGTAGCTTTTAAAACATGTCATTTACAGTGGTGTCTATTCTTCTGTTTGTTTATCTTGCAATAGTGTACATAGAGATTCCTTTTATATGGTTCTTGGTATGAGAATAGACATGTATTTTGTTCATAATGGATTATTGATTGGCTTGACAGCAGCAGAAGCCCTGAGGTTGTGTCATCAATGGTACATACTCTTCCAATAGTGAATACAGCATTTCATGCAGCAAGTCGGGACTCTGAATTATAAACTGATAATTGTTTATCTTGCATTCATTGGTTCTGATGACATGGGCTTTTCTTTATTAGCATGAACAGATGCCTTGACCAAGCTGTAGACGAGCCACATTGTGTTTTAGATACATATTGGGAGAAAATTATTAGCATTTTGGCTGTAAAATGCCCTCTGCAAATGTTCCCATTGTTTGCACAGAATAATTGGTGTCTTTGAGCTCAAGCAGTGTCTGTATTGCTCATAGATGCAGGTCAGAGTCCACCTTAGAATTTTGTACTGCAGCTCAGAAATTAAATTAACTAATTATTATTGTTGACATGTTCTTTGAAAAAATATGGAGTGTTTCCTCTTGTTTAAACTATGGTGTTAAGCAGGCCATAGATGATGCAATTTTCTTTAATGCTACCACAGTCAATGTTGATGGGGGAATCCCTCCCATATAGCTATTGTGTTCTTCCAACGGGGCAGGGGTCTTGGGCCTGGTAGCCTAGCTGTCCCTGCCAGGAGGATGCAGTGATTATTGCTAGTGGCTATAGCTGCTGGCAATAATCGCATGTAAAATCTGACATGCTGGTTTTACCCAAGTTGTACAACAATTGAACTGGGTACAGTTAGTCTGCTCATAGATGGTTCAAATCTCGTCCAGTCCCTGCTGAATTGTCTGAGCTTGAACCTTCTATGGCCGGCTTTAGTTGATAAACCAGTAGAATTTTCATGAATCCTGGAATCCAGTTCCATCACAATTAACAAGATATATATGGATCAAAATTTGGCTGGTTCAGCAGGGACCGGCTGAATTTCAATCCACGTATAAGCAGGCTGGTTGTACACAAATCGCTCTATCAAACAATTTGTGTACAAACAGCCTGTTGGAAAACTTTCTTGATCAGTGCTGCTGGATATAGCAGGCAGCGGTGATCAGTGTATTCTGAATACCATTCAGAATATAATAACTCAGCAAGAGGATTTCCCCCATCCACACTGAGTGTGTAGATGGGGGAATAGAGTTATTCAACCAACAGAATGGAAAAAAGAAAAGTATGTCCAGCTTAAGTCTGTATTACAGTTTCAAAATAACTTGTCCAACCACAACACTATTCTCTTATTCAAGCTTGTCCTTTTTGCTGGCCTGTGTCTGGTTTGTTTTATCATGCTGTAATGGCAATGCTGGGTGCAATAACTAAAAAGCAAGTCCAATACACATACACAATCAACAGGTAGTCACACACAGGTACTTTTAATCAGCTTTTACACCATTACATTTTCTACGCATGTGAAAGACCCTCTACCAAATGAATACCTGCCCTGGTACATCATTGCATTCACTCGGCACTCCAAGAAATAACAGAATCCAACTGCAATATTCTTGCACTGTAAAAACCTCCACTTTTTTTATCACATGACACACAGGAGGATATATCTTATAGTCATCACAATTTGCATAATAACACACACTAATAGTAATGTGAGCATTACAGCGTGAAATAGACACATCATGTGTCAAAGCATAGAATACATTAGCAAAGCTATATGAAGGCGGGAAGGAACAAATTCCATCAGAACCATACTGCCCAGGGGGTCAAGGGGAAGTCGTAAGCATGACCAATTGATGAGCCCATATAGCCTTGGTAAGAGTCCCTGCGTCAGAGCATCCTCTGGCAACTAGGAGGGCTTTCTAATCGATCCCATTTGGACTCCCGGATTTTAAACCATTTTTCTGGCAGCTTTCCCGAAGTGGGCGGGCGCCACACCAACACTATAGGAGGAGCTAGCAGGATAACAGAGTCACACTCAGCCACCATATTGAGTCCACATCGTTATCTGAAAAGTCACACTTTTGCTTCAGATCAGCTTCTTATGTACCCTATACTTCTCATCTACCCTAAACTTAAAGATTTCTAACTTCTCAAGCAAGTAGATATCCTTAAACAGGTTCTTATCTTCTAATGTGACATTACTAGATGTCGTAAACACGTTCAATCCCACAAACAAGTTTTTATCTTGCTCTATGCAGAATATCTTGTGACTCTGATGGTGACTCTGTTCCCTTAGCCTAGAGAAATGACATCTGTCATTTTTCATGCTCCTGGCATCTGGACAACAATGCTTTACTTTAAAAATTACCCAAGAAACAAAGGGTCCAAGGCCAACACATTTCAAAGGCATTACACATGCGTATAAGCATTCTTTATACTTTAAATATGAGTTCAAGGTAAATGGCAAAATACACCAATGGAAGAACCTTTATAGGAGCTCGTTTGCATAAAGATTTGTGTTTCTGTCCCATTCAGTCGTATACAGGTGGATTGCACAAGTTCTAGATTAGGAATACATAAGTGCCCTGTCTCCACCCTAAGCCTTCTAATTGGACAAAGAATTTTGTCTTGTCTGCGTTGGGGCTGCACTGGAAATAGCTGATGGCATAGCCCCAGTGTATCTGGTTTGAATGGGCCTGTAAGCTGACCAACAGCTTTTTTGTTCTGCTGACAATTTTTGCATCCACATCCTTTCATTTTTTTTCTTTGTTTTTGTTTTTTGTTTTCCAGTAGGAGAGGACCAACAGGAAAATTTCAGTATGGTAATCAGGAACTGACTGAAGTTTGCACAGTGTGTGGCCAGTATTACTTTTAAGAAAAATATAATGGAGATGCATTGTCACTGGGGCTTGTGATTTAGATATTAAGTCATAGGTTATTACTAGTCTTGGCAAACCTGATTAGCAGTTTTTAAACACCACCTAATGTGACTTGCATAAGGAGGTGGCAGGAAGGTCCTATTCCTAGATTGTAAGCTCGAAAGAGCAGGGCCCTCGATCCCCTCATGTTTTGCATTGTATTGGTATTGTTCTGTCACATGTTCTGTCTCCCTTTGTAATGTACAGCGCTGAGCGAACTACCGGCGCTTTATAAATACTGTATAATAATAATAATAATACTCAGTAAAACTGATTATGAGACTTGAGTAACAGCATGGCTGAACCTGTGTGGGCCCTGATTAACCAACAATTAGATCAGTCAGTAAATGCATTTATGTTAAAATAAAACTAGCTTCTGTGGTAGTGTGAAAGCTGAACTTCTAAAGCTTAAGTGCAGCCAAAATGAAAAAAAAAAAACCCCCCACAAAAATCAGCACAAGGGACATAACTTGGTCAGTTGGAGGTATTTCATGTGCTGATGCCTCTTCTGTTAGATGAAATTATCCTTGTCCATTCTAGTGGTTTAAATACTTTGGGTTATTTGACCTAGAGCAAGTAGGCTTGCAGACTTCCCCTAGTTCATATTTAATCCAAGTTAGTGTCTCACTGTTTCAATAGCTAGCTTGTTAACTTTTTCAGAGGTAGGTTGGCAATGACAGCTTACGCCTTTATTTCTGGGCAAGTTTGTATTAAGGACGTCTGCCATTGGTACTGAGGTATCATACTAAGATGGTGGACCTAGTGTTTTTTTAATCCTGATGCATTGCTTCTGAGGTGGCATGCAGATCATTTGTATTTGCAGATGTCCACTATTTGTGGATTGTTTTTCTTTTCTAGGTATCAGCAAGTTCAAATAATGTATATCAAAAGCATAGACAAGGTTCCTAGTATGTAAATTATATTTTTATAAAGTATGTGTGTTGCTGTGTGTGAACAGTAATTCAATAACCCCTTTCTTGAGATTGTTACAGCAATTATTCAATGAATATAAGGCCCTGCCCCCCTTGAAGATCCCTAAACTTTTGTTAGCACACATTTTTGGTTCAATGAATAATGCTTTTTAATTGTTTTTAGGCTGTGTATGTTTTAAAATCAATTAAAACACTATCAATTAATATTTGCGTTCTCCGATTTTGTTTTCCTATAGTATCCTGATGGAAGCAGTTCTTGGCATATGTTTATGAAGATCAGGCTGGAAGCTATGCTGAACAAGTAGCGCAAGGTTGAGTACACAACTCCAAAGCCAAAATTTTCCTTAACTGATTTTATCTCCCTGCCTCATGCTCCATTGGTAATGGAACGAAGGAAACAGTTTGATATGGAACTACGTGAATCTGCTGCTAAGTCAAGTAAAAATGATGAAGATGACAGACCAACATGCTTCAGTTGTGTTATTTGTGGGAAAAGCTTCCCTTTCCAGAGCTCCCTTTCACAGCACATGCGAAAGCACACAGGTGAAAAGCCATATAAATGTCCATACTGTGACCATAGAGCTGCCCAGAAAGGAAATCTGAAGATACATCTGCGAACGCATAGGACTGGTACCCTTGGCCAGGTCCATGATGTGGAAATGGGAGAGTCACATGGAGAACTTGGGGCTTCAGAAGGAATGGGTGTATGTGCAAGCCCAACTAAAAGTACGTCTGCTTGCAACAAAATTCTTAATGGATCTTTGCAGTTAGACACCGAGGCAGCAGATGATGACAAGCTTGGTGACTACCATTGCATGTTCTGTAAAAACAAGTATGATAGAAAAAAAAGAGCTGGACCAGCATCTTCTACAAGTTCACAAGCCATATAAATGCAGGTTCTGTAGTTACATGACTCTGCGAGAGGAGACTTTGTTAAACCACATTGAGAAAGATCATATCACAACAGCAATTCCATTAAACAGGGATGGATTCACAGAGAATGGGAAAAATGATCTTAATTCAGGTGAATTTCCTTGTGAAATATGTGGTCAAGCTTTTGGTCAGGCTTGGTTTCTTAAAGCTCACATGAAGAAGCATAGAGGATCATTTGACCATGGTTGCCATATATGTGGCAGAAGATTTAAAGAGCCTTGGTTTTTGAAAAATCACATGAAATCTCATGGTCCCAAAACTGGGAACAAAAACAAACCCAAATCTGATACTGATCCAGTAGCCACTATTAATGATGTTGTTCAAGAAGAGACCATAATGACTGGCTTATGTCTCTATGAAGTTTGCATGAAATGTGGAAATTTATTTACAAATTTAGAGAGTTTAAATGCACATAATTTAATCCACTGCAAAACAGAAGAAGGTTCTAGTGAAGACAAAACAGCACAAAAAACTGATTTGCAAGATGTCAGTCCAGATGGGCCAGGATCAAAACAATTTTTCTTGGACTATCTGAAGCTACGGCCTTTAGAAGATACACTGAAATGCACAGACATGCATCAAGGGAAAAGAGTTCCTGAACTTGACCCAATCAATAGCTATCAAGCTTGGCAGCTGGCCACAAAGGGCAAAGTTGCTGAGCCATCAGAATATGTGAAATATTTGGGATGGGATGAAACCTTGGCAGATGCAGATGTGTGTTATGACAGAGATAAAGGCGAATACATTCTAATTAATCAGGAGAAACGCAAACGGGAACAGGAGAGTAACAACACCAGCAATCCAAAGAAACGGAGTTGCGCAAGTGGGAGTCGCACAGAGAAAAGCAGCAGTGCTCAACCTGGTGAAAATGCTGTTGAACCACCTAATGAATTGGAATTTAGGCCACCTTCACGCCAGAGCCGCAGGTCTTCTCAGAACAAATCCACTGAATGCTTTGAATGTGGGAAAATTTTTCGAACATATCACCAAATGGTGCTTCATTCAAGAGTCCATCGAAAAGAACGTAGAAGTTTGAGTGAAAGTGGTTCAGTTACTCACACCGACCGGTATGGATCAAATAGTGAAGGTGACTCTGCTAGTAGACCCAGTAGTCCTGACTCTGCTTCCGCTCCAGAAGACTCTTTGGCTTCTGGCATTGGAGATGAAGGGGCTGATGATGACAGCTTTGAAGAATCTGCTACACCATCACCAGGTTAGTGCACATAGTATACTTGTTTGCAGTCATTACATTGTAAATGAGACTTGCTCAAAAAAGCAGGTGTTGGTGATCCGTGTAAAGTATGCGTCTGTTCAAGGGAACATGTCCCAGCAAAACTAGCTAAGTTTTTTCATCATTTACTCAATAACGTATATATGGTACACAATAGGCAATATGGTCTTTAGCTGATACTAACAAAACTGCTGTATTTATTCTATTTTATATCTTGCAATTGATCTGTGTTAAATTGTCCTGTACAATAGCTAAGGCGTTCCCATGAAAATACAGAAGACTTGTATCAAAATTAGAATTATACATAAATTAGACCAATTGGGAGAAACTGCATATAAACTAAATATATTGTTTATGCCACATGCAGATTTCATTTCTTGTATATTTATTTCACTTTAAACCATGAAATAGTGAAACGAAATTCTTACAATAGAAACATGACATTTGTGCAAGTAAGCTAGATATGATCTGTACATTGGAATAGGAAAGTACTTTTAGGTTAAATTCCTAAATGATAACCAGTGAAGAACTTTAATATAGAATTAAATGAAATGTTCCTTACTATTTTAGAGTGTCACTTCTTGAACAGTTGAGCGGAGAGGTCATGTGACAGCAGCTTCAATTCAAGTGTAGATATATATGTGTGTATAGATACACATCAATAAACATATGAGAATTGGCAACAGAAAACCATGAAACTATTTTAGTGCAAGTGCAAACTAGTATTGTGTATTATGCTAATTTCTGTTATATGGGCCTTGATAGAATGTAAGTTTTTAGCTTTTGAGTTTACAGCAGAAAAAAATAGTGTGCATGTTTAATTAGCAGACATCTCAGGACTCTCAAGATCTCAAGACAAACGTAATAGTGCATGTTTTAAATAAAATATATTTAAAGAGATATTTTATACATGGTTACATTGGTCCTGCTTGGACTAACTTAAAGTGGAGTCCCTTCTAAAAAAAAATAAATAAATAAAGGTCAGCAGCTACAAAAACTGTAGCTGCTGACCTTTGAAATACAGCCACTTACCTGTCCCTCGGTCCAGCGGTGTCTTCACCACTGCTGGTTTCACCGGTCCCCTTCTCTCCCTTCGGTGTGGGCACCCGGCTGTGATAGCTTGCGTCTTCACAGCCGGGAGGCCACTGCACATGCGCGAGAAGCGCTACTCTTTTGTGAATGTTCCCGTAGTCTTCTGGGACCTGTCATGTGTCCCAGAAGACTATGGGGAGGGAGGGGGGAAGACAAGTTCCGCTTCCGATCGCCTAGGCGATTGCAGTGGAAGTGGGAGTGAGTACCTGTCAAATTCAGGTACCCGCTCCCCAAAGGTGCCAACCCTTAATGGGGAGTAGGGGACAAAGGCTTAAAGCAGAACTTCCCCTTTTGGGTGGAGCTCCGCTTTAACTTTATACCATACCAGGCTGATGCCCATGGAAGCTAAAAAGAGATACCACTGCCCGGTGATCTACACTGGCTGCTGGAGCCCTGCACCATTGTGAGCACAGTAGGTCATCCACTCAGCAAAACTGAATGCAAATCGTTCTCTGATTGGACAAGGTAGAGAATGTGATGTCACCACCCGCTTATCCAACACATTGCATTCTCTAAATGGTGCTTGTGTGTCTTGCTGCCGTCCTCTTGTGTTCAGAAGGCAGCAGGGCAGCTGCTCAGCACAGGACCTGAAATCAAGCTGAGATCACTAGAGTAGCGGTGTCCACTTCAGTGATTTCCAGCTTCCAGGTGCATTGGCCAGATATGGTATATATATAGTTAAATTGGCCCAAGCTAGGCCAGACTAATGTAACATGTTCAAAATATCCATACCTGGAATTCATCTTAAATTTAATTGGTAATAGGTTATTATAGGAAAATGTGTAGTTGTCACTGTCTGCACCACAGTCTTAATCTGTTTTTACATGCATTGTTACACTGGGCATCAAAAATACTGTTTTTAAGGGCTCTAGGCTAACCTAGAGGGGTGTTTAGAGGTAGAAAAAAAATGTGTCCATGTACTCATAGGCGTTTACAGGCAGTAAACTTGTGCATTCAGGAGAGGAACATTTGGGTAGAAAAACACTCAACGTGCCTAAACACTTGTAAATACATGTAAACACTAGGCGCATTTATCATTTGAATGTTCATTTCAATGGCCAGAATAAATTCATATTCTGTCCAGTGAAATGAATGAACACCAAAACGTTTGACACGCCTGAACTAAAACAAGTTTGAAAAGCATTTCTTTAGGTGCATTTTTAATGCTGATTTTCTCCTGCCAGAGAAATGTGTTCAGACGAGCTGGGCAAATGCCCAGTGTGCATGAGGCCTTCACAATCATATATCTTCATATGCTGTCACCAATGGGCTCTATAACACGTACTGATGCATTTCAAATAAATAAATGGGCAGCACATGTCAGCACATCACACAAAGGTGAATTGGCATCATTGGTAATTTGTGTTCATTTTTAATGTGTTAAATGCTTATAAAAATGCATACGTGTAAATGTAAAGTGGGGCTGTGATGACAAATTGCTCTGGTTGCAATAATGTGCATATTAGCTTCAGAAACTAAGACAAAAATGTTGTTGTAGTTAGATTTAAAGTTTAGACCAGAATTAGTTCATTTTAAATGGGAGGGTTAAACCCATGTCATGTTTTTGTCACGTTGTCCAATGCCACTTCCTGTTCCACAGACTTAGTGTTACTAAACCCAGGACCCTGCATTCACTATATCTGGTCTCTCACAGTACACAGAACATGGAAGTGCAATTTTTTTGTAAATATAAACTACTAAATACATTTTCTCATCAGTAGTTAGAGCAGTCTTGTGACTTCATCAAAATAAAGTAAACTTGATTACCATCTAATCACAATATAGTGTGAATATAAAAACTTAAATAGTCACCCAAAATATTAAAAATAAAAATAAATATAAATAAAATAAAGAAAAAAATATAGAAAAAAAATATATAAAAAAAATATATATAAAAAAAATATATAAAAAATCACAATCAAAAACACCCAAAAATCCAAAAAAAAAAAAAATCCAAAACAAGAAGGAGTCCCAAAATTTTCCAAATCTTTATCTGTGATATCTTAATTCTTCATATCTTCCAACATTCTTAGTGATATACTTCAAACCCGATCTTCATATACCTCAAGAAAAAAGAGCTCAACATGTGTGATATCTTCAAAAACAGAGTTATCTAAACAACTGTGCCACACGTGTTTCATGCACATAAAAATAAAAATAAATGTGCCACCATAACCGTGAGAAAAAGGATAGCCCTCAGCCTTAGGAGTCAATCCACTGCATACCACCAACGAGAGTTCATAGTTACCCTCACAGTGATATCAAGGGTCTGAGTATTGCCTTCCACTTTATAGGTATTCTTTCAGCCTTTCCAGCCACTTCCCACAGACCTCAATAACAGACCATGGATCAGTATATGTAAAAAACACTTATAACACTTTATTGTAGCAACTTACATTCAAGTAAGATAACATCAGCTTCACAAACGGTATATTCCCAATCCTTCCTCTCATCGCCAGTGTATAGATTAGATAGTCTTGTGACTTCACCAGAGCACTAGTTAAAGCTTGGAGGAGGAGTTTTCTTTCTGCTCTAGGAGGATGCAGAACCCCTGGCATCTATCTTGATTGGCCCTGTGCTGATCACATGCACTCTCCCAGGAAAAAAAAAAACCTCTCTAGCAATATACACTAAACTGAGCATGTGCAGAAGGGCTAAGGGCTACGAGTTCAGTCTTTCTTATCAGCGTGGACATTTGAATAAGAGGAGGGCCAGAGGAGTCAGGTTCAAACACCATTTTTACAGAATGCAGAGGATTAACCTCTTAGGTTCCACAGTGAGTATAACAAGCATGCTGTACTGCATATGCAGACTGATTTTACTGTTGAGGGTTTAGTAACACTTTTAACAGGAACTATGAAAAAAAATATTTCCAAAGTGGGGGAAATCTTCTAGACAAGGGGTCACCTCCAAAAAGGTTCTCAATTGGCCCATGTTCACTCCATTCCTGTTCTGGAATACAAAGCACTTTGACAGGTGAACCATCAGCTCCCTATCATTCATTCCACATAAATGGATAGTTTGAACATTAGTTAAAGCCAACAAGTGGCTGCTTGTAAAGTTATTTGTGATGTTTTGTGATGCTTGTCTGACAATTAACATAAAATATCACTGCGGTGTCTGAAGAGCACTCATGTAACAATTGTAACATTCTATAACCCTTCATAAAGAGAGAATGGTGACATCGGTGTACAATGTCATAGTGCCTTGTTTACTGCAAAACTAGTTTCAGAAAAATACCAGCCAAACCTTTAACTGCTGTTTCAGCCTGCAAACCCAACCAGCAGTAAATTTCATTGGCTGTTCATCTGGGTAGATAGATTAGTTGGAAAACATGGGCTGTCAGAGGAAGTTTTAGATGAACAGTGTATTGAGCAAGCCTGCATAAAATGTAGACAGGCGCCACCTAGTGGTGAATATGCAGAAATGCACTAGTATAAAAGGACAATTGTCAAGGCTGCAAAACAAAATTCCTTGTCTTTTTTTTTCAATGTGTGTTTTTTTTTTTAAGATTTGGCTGAAAACTTATTTAAAGCTATTAAAACTTAGTCAGTTATCTTTTTTCCCTTATCGTTAATGTTTACTATAGTTCCTAACCTCGGAAACAACGAAGCAACTCATTCACTCCCTTATTATATCACACCTGGACTACTGTGACTCCCTCCTCATTGGCCTACCTCTCCGCAGGCTATCCCCACTTAAGTCTATCATGAATGCTGCGGCCAGACTCATCCACCTTACTAACCATTCCGTATCATCCACCCCCCTCTGCCAGTCCCTCCACTGGCTTCCAATTGCCCAACGGATAAAATTCAAAACGCTAACACTGACATATAAAGCCGTTCATAATCCTGCCCCAAATTATATCACCGATCTCGTCTCCAAATATC